AATTATGGGTTTAGGGATTTTTAAAGAAAGCTCCAATTATTTTTTATATATTTATTGATAGATGCAATGATTGAAAATTAACCTAGAATATTAGAGGTGCTTTTAGATATTTATATTAAATTGAAATTGATTGAAAATGACCCTAGAATATTAGAGGTGTTTTTAAATATTTATTTTAAATAACATATAAAATTGTAGATGTTTTTAAATATAGTAGAGATAATTTGGTGAGTTTTGAACATGTTTTTCATGAATATATATATATTTTACTATTTTTATTGATCCATGTCAATGAGGATAAAAAATTTACTCCATAATTTTCATGATGACATTAATTGTATTTTATTATGATGGGTAATGTACAAAAACATGTAATCCAACATTTAATTTATAATAACAATTTTAATATTATTTATCCGTGCACCGCATAAGATACATACTAATAATAATATATAAAATAAAAGATAAGTTAACATTGACTTTCAAATTAAAACTTGAATTTATTATTTTATTTTATATTAGTAAGAAGTTGAATCTTAATAAATATAATTATTTTTATGTCTAGTATTAAAATTTATATAAAAGTCATTAATTATTTGGTGTTGTTTTATTTTATGTCTAGTATTAAAATTTATATAAAAGTCATTAATTATTTGGTGTTGTTTTATTTATTTATTTATTTTTATTAAAATGAGAATTAATAGCAATTCCTACTCATTCATAGACATTAGTATTCGACCTTGTGCATTTGCACAGATGTAAATAAAATTAAATATTATATGTTATATTCATGTATATAATATAAAAATTGTAAGTTATATAATTGTATTATATTTCAAACATATAGTATTATAAGTTATATTTATGTATATAATATTAAAATTATAAATTATATAATAGTATTATATTTTAAAATTTGATCATTGGTTAAAATAAATAGTACACACGATTTGATTGTATACGAATCACTATATTGATTGCATAAAATGCAATGAATATATATATTTTATAATTTTGAGTGATCATGACCAATTAATTAGCTGAAAAATATTACATTTATTATAACAATTGCTTATGTGATTTTAAGAAATTTTACTATGACATAAAAAAATTAATTTATTAATAAACAACATCTTCATCATATAAAAAAATATTGATTTTAGTGTAAAATATAATTTTATGTAACTTTCATATATTATTTAGTATAAAATATAATTACTAATTATAATATTAACTATTATATTATTCAATAAAAAATATAATTATCAATCAATTAACATAAAATATAATGGTTTTTGTCTTAATTAACCCAAAAAATGTAATGAAATATTTTGTTATTAATGAGATTGAGTGTATTAATGTCACATAAATAAAAATTATTAGGTTCTATTTATTAAGTTTTATTAATGATTTGCCACATAGGTAAAATTTATTAAGTTTTATTTATTAGGTAAAATTTATTGCTTAGCCAGCAATTATATATATATAGAATCAGTTTGTCCCGAATCGACCCGTTTACATAATTGAGTCGGTTCAGGACCTTCAAAACCACCGCACAGAACCGGCGGTTCTGTATTGGAAGTGGCCCGAAACCATCATTTGACCAAGTGAAGAGTGCTGTACTTAATGTCGTCCGCTGGGTTGAGAGCTGCTCGTATCGTATTTAACTAATCACATCAGTCCATTCACCCACCAACTACCGCCGCTTCCATGTCGTCATCTCCGCCACCACCACCACCCTCGCCTCCCACCGAGATCCTAGCCGTAACCGCGTCGAAACCCGCGTCCCCTCCCAAAAAACCCGCGCCTCTCCCCTGGTCCCATCCGGAAACCCTAGCCCTAATCCAAGCTTACCAGGATAAATGGTACTCCGTCAAGAAAGGTCCGCTCAAATCCTCTCAGTGGGAGGAAATCTCAGTAGCCGTAGCCGCCCGCTGCGGCCTCGACGAACCCTCGAGAACCTCCACTCAGTGCCGCCACAAGATTGAGAAGCTCAGGAAACGCTATCGTTCCGACCTTCGGAAGCCCTTCCCCAACTCGTGGCCGTACTTCGAGCTCATGGATCAACTGGAGCGCGGGCCCATGCCCCTCAATGCGCGCCCAATTGCGATCCACAAGGCTCCTCCCCCTAATTACGCCAATAACGGTAATAATTATGTTAATTATGATCAAGGTCGCTCTGGTTATTTTGATAAAAATATTCATCCTTCTGGGGATTCTGACGAGAGTGATGAGGAATGGAATAAGGGCTATGGTTTGGGAACAGCCAAGAAAAATAAGTCATGGAGTATTGATAATAATACTGCCCCTCGTTTGAGTGGGAGGAGAGTTGCCACTGTGAATGGAAAACGAAAGAACAAATATTATGGTGAAGATGATGATGATGATGATGATGATAGTGAAGATGATGATGAGGGTGATTTGGATGCAAAGGAATGGGAAGATGGTGGTGGCGGGGAAAGGGAACTGGCTGCAGAAATCAGGGGTTTTGCAGAGAAGTTTATGCAAATGGAGAATAAAAAGATTGAGATGATGAGAGAGACAGAGAGGTGTTGGATGGAGATGGAGAAAAAAAAGATGGATATGATTCTCGAGAATCACAGGAAGATTATGTGTTGTATTGGGAGTGCGTTTGGTGCTCGTAAGAAAGCTAATATGGCCCAAGAAACTTGAAAGATTGTTGTTCTTTTCCTCTTTTTTCCCTAAAATCAGAATAATTTGGACCGATTGATGTACTATTAGGCTGCTAAACGATTTCATAAATATATTTCCCTTTTTTTGGGTATGTTATTTTGTTTAATTGTTGTTTTTATTTGTTAGTGTACACATGTTACTCACATCTCAATCTTACCGGCGACATGCTTAGAGTATTTGCATATGTGTTTTGAGTCTGTGAATGGGCTTCAGGTGCATTTAAACATTTGACGAGTAATGAAGTTACTTGAGGATTCCAAATGTGTGCAGTAGAAAGGTTTTGATGGTGGTAACCATGCCTGCTGCTCTTCCCATGACTACTTAATTTCTGTTTTAGTATCCATTGTTTGCTTGATATGCTCGGTGATCATCAACTGGTTTTCCTGTTGTTTGTCTATTTTGCATTTCTCTATCATGCAACTTTTTTTAATACGATTCTATTTGGGTTTGAGAACTTGGAATCAACTTAATTGTGTGTCTATTTTGCATTTCTCTATCATGCAACTTTTTGTAATACGATTCTATTTGGATTTGAGAACTTGGAATCAACTGGTGTTGCATCTCAACGTTGAGTGTGAATTGATGTTGGCGCCTTGGCGGGTAGGTACAGAGAGAATATTGAGCAAGACCCATGCATGCATGAAGTTCTATAAAGAAATATTGTTGTGTATTGTGTTCAACCACGAAACCGATAAAGTCCTAAAATAGGTGAAGTCCTTACCGATCATGAACACCAAGTGTATAGGAATTCATTAATGTGCAAAAGCTCAAATGATCTGTTTTCTCGATTGCAATAGAAGAAATAGTTACACATACATTTCTCCTTTCCTTTGTTTTACTGGTAAATTACAACAAATGGATATACATAGATACTGGTTTGCAAATGACGTCGACCGGTTCCTGCGACCTTGGATCCGCACTTGACCGGTTCGATAGACCTGCAAAACAATGTCGGGGTAGTCTCGACGTAGAGATTCCGACGATCAAGTCAGTATGTGTATGAGACAGACGATGAACAATAACTGTATAGCTTGTAAGTATATAACTGTGTAGAGTGTGAGACAACGAAGCGCTGCTAAGACGCTTCACCTATGATCGATAGGTCATGGATTCGAGTCTCTGAGGGAAAGTGAGAATACTATTCATCCTTGAAGAAAAAAAACTATAGAATGTAAATGATCATACCTTACACTTCGACCTCCCATGTATGGACTTTGTCTCTTAAGTCGAGACATCGACGTGCCTGCTTTCTTTTAGGAGAGTCTTAGTTGATGAGCTCTCTTACCTACGAAGTCACCATCGACCTGATGATTCTTCGACCTCTGGTGTCTTCGATCTTTAGCCGGCCTGCCGGTTCACACAGTTCAATCATACTGCTCTTTGAGTCGTACTAGACCTGGTATTCAGTATCCCATATGAGATATCATACTAATAAACTTTAAGGTTACATTGTACTTCTAGGATATTAAAAAAAAAAATATTTTTTACAATAAAAATATTATATTTTTACTATACTGGATAATATATAATAGAGAATTAATAGAGTGATAATTTTTTAAAATGACACTCTTATTTTGAACGTAGATTGCAAAAAATGATATATTTTTAAATTACATTTGTAAAATTATACCTGTAAAACAAATATTATAAAAACTCCAGAACATTGATTTCAACTTAAAAAAAAATAAAATCAGCTTTATTGCATTATAAATATATTTTATATTAATAGAGCGATGTCTCTTGTATATTAATTTTTCAAATATTTTATATTTATAAAGATTTGATGGTATAAAATATAAATCAATATATACAATGTAATGTTTTCTGACTTTATGAAATATTAAAAATATTTTTATTATTTTAATTATGAAATTCATTTACGTTTTTTCTTAAAACATCATTTATAACATTGTCTATATTACTTTATTTAAATCGAGACATAACTGTTTAGAAAATTTATTAATATATATTGTATGTTAAGACTTCATTTCCATATTTTTTCCCCTAATCTACGGAAATTCAAGGATTGTTTTTATTGTATATTAATAAACTGAAATTTGTAATATTTCATAAAAAAAAGTCATATTTGATATTTTTCAGTTTGATTTGATAAATATTTTTTTAATTTTATTTATAAAGATAGATGGAACCAGTTTTTATATTATATATGAAATATGAACATTAAATCAAAAAATCGTTAAAAGTTGATTAATTTCATATACATATATAAAAAATAGAATATAAAAAAAAAAGTTATCAAATTTAAAAAAAGATAAAACATATTTGTATAATTAATATATGAACTAAATAAGAAAAAAGTAAAAGTTTACATCCAGTAATTGAGGTTGCAAGAATGTCAAAAGAGGGTGCTGCATGCACTTCACTTGATGCTTTTACCATTCACATCATTTTTGCCTTTCAACATCTTCCCGTCAAGTAAAGCATATCCCAAAAACACATTATATACATACCAGCACGCGAAAGAGAAAACGGGTCCCACGTCCAGGAAAAAAAAAAAAGAAAGTAAAAATAAAAATACCATAAAAAAGAAAGCCACAAATTGATTAAAAGCCTGGTCACGTCCTCTCCACGAACCTGGCCTCCGACATCTGCGACTGTCTCGACGGAGACATGGACCCCCTCGACGACCCATGCCCGAATATATTGACAAACTTCTTCGAAAACGAGCTCATCAACCTCCTCGACCCCGACCTCTCCAAATTCCTCTTCATGTAGACATGATCCTTCTCCAGGTCATTCAGCCTCATCCTCATCCTCGCCAGCTCCAGCTTCAGGTCTCGATTCTCACGCCTCAAGGACGCGTAGTTGTCCCGCGGTGACATGGCCGCACTGCGGGCCCCACTGTTGATCCTCCAGCTGGGATGCTGCTTCATCCCAGCTGCTGCAGGTTCGTCCTCTGCGTAGAACAGTGAGTTTCGGAGCCTCTGCTGCTCGTAATAGAGGACTTGGACAATCGACTGCACGGGTAGCCGTTCGTTCTGCGCTGCATGAGCCCCGGCCTCCTGTGACAGCTTCTGGAAGTCGATCAGCTTGCACAACTTCCTCTTTTCTCCCTCCGGTAACCCTTGGTGAGCCTGTCGATCAATGTAAATTATATAACAACACATATTTCAGTTGATCTAATATTTATAGTAGTGAGAGTACAACAAAAAAGGAAATTTCCCTACCTTGAGATAAATGTCAATCGCTCGATAAAGCCCGTCGTGAAGCGTGCGCGCGTGTGCCGGCAACGCCTCGGCAATAGCCACAAACATTGTAAGCTTGAGGTTCCCATCAGGCGCGATTTCCGCCAAATAACTGTCGATCAGCTTCGACACGGTGCAGAGAGAGGTCTGGGACGGGCCGTCCGACCCGAAACCCGACCCGTCCCCCTCCATATCCATATCCATATCCATATCTTCTTCCTCCTCCTCCTCCTCGCTCACCTCCATCTGCGCGAAATTCACAAGTATCCTATGAACCGTCTCCACATCGAACAAAGTGTCTCCCGCGTGATTGAACGAAGGTATGAGCAAGTCGTCGAGAGTCGCCATCTCAAGCTGAGCCCCGATCCTCCGCTCCAACTCCACCCTACACCCGTCCGCGCACCCCAGCGCGGCCGCACTCCTTAACAAACCGAACAAAAAACTCAACGGCACCGCGAATTTCTCGACGGGAAGCAACCCAACCACCGTCTCGACCACGAGCCGTCCACCACCCCCTTTACCCGCCGCCGACGTCGACGAAAGCTCTTTACGCGCGTAGTTCACGAGAGACGCCCCGACAGTCTCCGGACGCACCCCACGGCACTTTACGGCAGCAATGACTCGTTCGTAAAGGTCGACTCGCAGGGCCGAGAGGTCTTCCACCCACCAATCGGACTCGGATTTAGCGGGCTTGCTCATGTGGAGTCGGCCCGAGCTGCTGTACTCGAGCCGTGAGAAGCTCGAGGCGATCTGTTCAACGCAGGCCTTGGAGGCTACGGCGTCCACGCAACGTGAGACAATTTGAAGCTCGTCTGCGAGTGGAAGGAGGCTCTCGCAGTGTTGGAGGACCTCGACGCACATCTCGAGGCTCTTGCAGACGACGCTGTCGAGATACTCTTCGGCGCGGGAGGCGAGGTTGTTGGGGGAGTAGTCGTCGGTCATCTCGAGGTAGTCGGAGACGCATATGAGGCGGGCGACGTTGGAGGCCGTGATCTCGAAGTTGATGCCGTAGCAGAATTGGGCCGCCAGCTCGAACGACTCGAGCCCGCCGGGAAGGCCCAGGAGCTCGATGCGGGACACGTCGGACTCGCGGTGCTCGGCGATGAGTTTTCGGATGCGGCCGCTCCGCGAGACGAGAGGGAACTGTAGTAGATGCCAAAAATTTTATTTTTGTGAAATTAATTAATGGTTTGTGTAATTACAAACTTCAATCTACAAGACATCTCAACTCTTGAGAGGCTTCAAATCTTTATATCAGAAATTGTTTTGCCTCCATAGGACAAAAATCATTATTTTTTTTTGTTTTTACTCTTTTTCCAACATAGTAAGCATTAATAAGGAAAGAATGAAAGAGAAAGACAAATAGTAATTAAATGGGAATTATTGAGATGCAGAGCCTGACCTTGTGTAGTGCAAATGTTGCTCCATCTACTTCGATAATGATGTCACTTGGAACATCTCGAAATACCCTATAAACGATACCACAACAGAAAAATCAGGATTTTTTAACTTGGTAACAGAGCATACTAGTTTTGAAGTTTGGACATGAGATTTTTTAGTCCTAATTTTCTTTTTCAGTATAACAAAGAGGCGGAAAAGGAAAGGAAACTGTTTTTACACCTGAGATGTTACATTACTTCCTTTTAAAAGCTGAGAATC